CGTGTCTCAAATCCAGGGTGGCTTGGCTTAGAGAGGCCCGACGATGGGGCTGGCCAGCAGGCAGACAGCCTCCAGCAGTGTTACTCAGCTAGCAGCATACCTCTGCAATAAATCATGGGAGATGTGATCCTGGTCTGCCATTCCCTGTTTTTACAAGGAGGCAAAGTTCATGGTAGATGCAGAGAGAAGCTGGAATTGTGCAGAATTAAAAGTAGTAGGTAGTAGTACTGCCAAATATACCTGTTCAGCTAAGCAAGGAGGGTCCCCCCCTTGTGAATCAGGACCTGTCTTTGCTACAGGGAGTCTATCTTTTCTCTGCACTGCAGACTTGCTTCTCCCTGTCTGGGAGGACTTGGTACCACATTCAGGATCTCGGCAGGCCCTTTTTCAGTTGTACCAACAAATCTTAGCAGCTCCCTTTAGAAACAATGCAACAGGAAGACAGCAAGTGGCTGCTTGTGGCCTAGACTCTTGCTACAGCCTCTCTGCCTGGTGCGCAGCTCTTCTGCATCGATCCTATTGCTTTGTACTTCAATGCTGATATTCTCCTGTTGCTCCCCTCCTTACTAAGCAGTCTCTCCTAGGAACTGAATGCTGGCTTGGTCCCTTCCCTGCTAGGCTGATGATTCCTGCCTAGCCCAAGCAGGGCTTCTGCAGGATATAAACACATCTTGCACCAAGGCTCTAGGGCAGCTGGTCGCTCTGTTTCACCAAAGCTGTCCGAGGGCAGCCAGTGGTATCTTTCATCGCTGAGGCAGGTGGTGACCATTTCACAAATAGGTGTTTCTTGGTGGGATGTGTTCCAGGAAAAGTAGTGGTATCTCCCTGTTAACAGATAACCGTTTAGCTATGAGAAGTACCAGCAAAATTGACTGTGTGTATTTAAAGAAGAGTGAACATCACTAATCTTCTGTAAAACTATGCTATGTTTTCGAAAAGGTTTCACATTACCAGTAACGTTAGAAACCACAATAGATTTCACTCCAAACACTTCTCTCTTCTGAAGGTACAGTTCAGCTTTTGCAACCCCTGAGTTTCTGAACATTTGTATAAAATTTCAGGTCAAAAATCTTTTTCACTGTTGATCTCCATCCTGGTGCTTTGTTTTGTGTTTGTGACTGCTGCTGTGAAGTGAGCAAGGAGTGAAGGTCTGCAGTGGTCTTGGTCCTTTTTACCAAGTGATTGTGCTCAGTGTAGAGCTCAGTGGTGTGCGAGTAGCTGAAGTGATTCCTTCCAATGTGTGTTACCTTTCATAAATCTGCTTGCCCTGCTCAATTAAGGCTGGCTAACTTCCAGGTATTCAAGCTCCATTGAAGTCTTGTGAATAAAACACCAGCAGCCCAGCCTCCTTCATAGATAGATTTACAAAGAGCTTTGCAGACAATCCTGTTTGTCAGGAGTCTCTCCCTTTGGCTGTGTTTTCAGCTCAGGGGTTTCCAGTTGTTACCAGTGCCAGTAAATCAAGGTTTTCACATGGCTCTTTTTGCAGGACAGGCTCCCGGTGCTCAGTAGATCCCTGCTGTATCTCCAAGACTTGCATACTCTGGCACTTCAAATGTCACTGTTGCTCTCTGGATTAGAAGGTACCCCTGTAAATGGCAGCTAGATGGGGTCGATACCCACACATGAAATCTAGGGCAGCATAATGTGGATGTGAAGACTCCTGGGTAGCGGAGCACTCTGCCCAGGAAGCGATTCTGCTAAAGTTATTTGTACTCTGGGGTCTGTAATGTAATGGCTCATCCTGCAGTGTTTTCTGATTCCTCTGAGATGTTTGATATTTTACTCTCCAGTGCTGTCCCTGGGTATTATAGGAGACCTTGCTCATCCTGAGAACAGGAAGAGCTAAGCTCCACATTAAAACTGATAGGAACCTTCCACCAAAGACCTCTATAAACCCAGAGAGAAACCTTGCAGAAATGCTGGCAATTTATTTTATTTTACTGTAACAGGGGATAATGCTTTCACCAGGGTCAGCTATTGTCCACAGGGACCCTGAGCACGGGTCAGGGGCTTTGCCAAGACTGTCAGTGCAGTTGTCAGCATCAGCATGTGCCTTCTGGTTCTAGGTCTCCTAATAATAAGCATGCAGGCTGGCAGTTCAAGCCTTAATGAACTTGATTTTTGTCGGAAATGGCTTTGCTCTGCAAGACTGGAAGGCCTTGATGATCCCTGCCTGGATTCCCTGCTTGACTGTGTGGTGGGAAAATAGTCCAGTGTTATGGCAGCCTTGGGAGGCTCTGTGGCCTTTCTGAAGTGCTGTGGGTGACCTGGGTGCTGAGTGATCCCCCTGGCCAGTACACCCATGGACTAGCTCAGATCTGCAGCTGGCTGTGGTCAGGAGGGACAGGCACCAAGGTCCTGCCTGCAGGATGGCTCCAAGGGGGCTCAGAGCCTCTTCAGCCTCTTTGCACGGTGACCGTATGGAAAGTGCCTTGCTTTCCCGTGGACTTGTTTTCCCCTTTGGGAGTGCACACGTAACACAAACAAAGCTGTGTTTCACGTTTTCAGCTTCAAAGTCTTGAAGGAGTTCAAAGTAAATTTCCCTTACCCAAACATCAGTTGTGGCTCTCCCAGAAAGTTTGACAAGGGGCTTTATCCTGACATGTCCCTGGCTCCTCTACTCTTAAGTGGTTGTTTATTCCTCCCGCATCCTTTTAATGATATAAGATGTAATCAAGAGGCAGCTGAGACCCAATTACATAACTGGTTGTCAGGGTTTCTCTTTGGCAGTGTTACCCTGCGTGCGGTTTGCACGCTGACTCTCAGGAACGTGGGGATTTTCTGTTAACCAGCTAACTCCTGAACCTGATGTGGTAGTACTTTTTTTTTTTTTTTTTTTTTTTTTTTTTTTTCCCCTACTAATTTTTTCTGGTTTGAGTTTTCTAAACCTCAAAGGGGATTTTATTGCTTGGGAATATGTGAGGTTGGTACAGGATTGACGTGGTCTGGCTAGACCCCGAGCCAGGCTCCCTCTGCAAGGCTCAATATCTCTGTAAAGGCAGGTGGCCGTGCTCTTCCCAGCACAGCTGAGGGCTGGTGTGCAGCACCCTCTGCTATTTGCTCTGCTCCAGGGCTCCCTGCAACTCTGCCAGGTCAAACAGGTCATTGTTCTCAGCCCAGCTTCTACTTTCCTTCCAAGTCCGTGTTAATTTTTCTCCTTCTCTCTTTTACGTCTGTCCTACTGATAAAATGCAGTGGAAATGGGCAAGTGAGGGAGGAGCTGTTGTTTTCTTTGGCACATGGTGACCATCTGAGCAAAGATTGAACCAGACTCCAGCCAAAGATCTGTTTGCTGCTCTGCAGGAAAAGGTGCCTCAAGAATGCCAGCCAGCGCTGTTGCCTCCGCAAACCTTTGTGCTGCAGCCCTGTGTGGTGGTCCACCAAAGGTGGCTGTGTGGGCCTTCTTGCGGAGCCTGGTGTTTGTCCTGAGCATCCTGTGGATGCTGTTACTGAGTGACAGAAAACACTTTTCTTCCTCTACCCCCAGCTGCGCTGCTTGCTGCCTAGCACACAGCTGCTTGCTCCTGCCAGGCCCAATTTAAATCCTGCGATGCAAGAACGAACGCTGCATGGTGCCAGGTTTATTGGTCAGAAACTTGCCCCCTGGCAGCAGCCTTTAGATGGGCTTTACTCGGCTAGCGGCAGATCGCAGTGCATTCTCAAACTGGCTGTATCCAATATGTTTGTGGTCTGTGCTTTATTCTCTACATCGTGCGTGATGGACTAATCCTCTTACCTGGAAATCATGTTTGATGAGGCCTTGCTGGTGGAAGGTTTAGCCTCTGGTCAGATACTGGTTCTTTCAGAAAGAGTGATTTCTGCCTGCTTTTAAACGTGCTTTCAGCTGGATGAGTTTCAGAAAGGGTGAAGGGTGGGAAGGTCTGATATATGTAGTGTTTTGTTCCTCCAACGCAGAGCTGCAACCCTAACACGGGACCTAGCAGATGGTATAATAAAACTGCCAGCAGTTTCAGGCTTGAAGTGGAGGCTTTACAACAAGAAATCTGGAAATTAAATTGCGTGTGAAAAGGTTAGATTAAGCTCCTAGATTTGAGACAATTTAGGACAGAGAATTATGCTTGAAAAAAAAGTCCATTGAAAGCAAGCGAAGTTTTTTTTCTGGCATAAAAGTTGACCTGCAGTGTGTGTGTTCCCCGTGTTTCAGCTTTGTCCTAAGCTCCACGAACCAAAAAGTGAAAGAGACTGCCTGCATGGAGGGTGTTAATCACAGCATGTTGTGCCAGCAAAGATCAGAGCAAAAAATTAACAAACCACGTCCAATGTGAAAAGTATATTTATAGCTAAAAATGGCGTTGAAGGTGCCAGTAACAGAGAAAATGTAATCTTTTTTTTTTTTTTTTAAAGTGTTTTTAAGCAGTCTGACAGTGCCATTAATACTGAATTATATTGTGTGCAGTTGCAAGGTATTTCTTAAATGCACTACTCCAAAAAGGGAATTTGAAGAAATAACTCTGTTGCCTTCAGGTGATGCTTTCAAAGCATTAATTGTTGGTACGAGTCATTAACTATGGCCAGTGCGGAACTATAATCGTAAACATTACAAACAGGGCTACCAGTGCTTCAGTGGGAAACCCAGTGATAAATTCTAGTGTGGTATAAGATACCATGCTTTCCCATCGTTTATGTTTAGGAATCCTTGTGCATAGCTACTTATTGTTATGCTTAATTCTTTTAAAGCAAGGACTATGTTGACCACCCTGTCTTGTATTCTCATACTTGAAGGAGCTCACCTCTTTCAGCACTGGAGTGGCAGGAAAAAAAAATGCTGAGAAATGTGTTCCTGCAGTTCTTTTCATTCAGTTTATGAATCTTAAATCCCACAAGCTTCTTGCGACTAAAGAGGAGAAGGTTAAAACCTTAGTGTGTCTGCTCACTGAATAGCTGCAGTTCTAGCAGTTGCGCATGTTTTACTTTTTACTTGTCTGTGGCTAAATAATCTATTTGATGGCGTTTCCCTGGTTCTCTTTCATTAAAAGGCAGATCGGGAGCGGCGCAGAGAAATTTCCTTACTAGATGACATTTCATCGCAATGTCCGATCGTTTGGGGCAAATAACCAAGGGAAAGGATGGGAAAAGCAAGTACTCGACTCTCAGCCTGTTTGATAAGTATAAAGGAAAGTCAATAGAAGCTATCAGAACTACAGGTAAGAAACGCCTTCAGAAGGCTCCTTTTGGTGTCTTCCAAGAGTGGTGCAGAGCTAATTCAGGTTGTTGGCCCTGTGGGTAGGATGCCCAGTGGGAAGCAGCTGGGTTGCAGCGCTGTTTGTGCTGGTGTCAAAGCCTGTGTTTCATTAGGACTTCAAGGAAAATGTCTGTGGTTCTTTGTGCTGCTGTTATTGTAGAGACACAGAGGAATTACAGCAAAACAGCTGGGGGACTGTTGTTTCTTTTCGTTTAGCCTGTGTCCTTGCTGCAGAGTGGGCAAGTTGCAAATAGAGTGAAAGCCTTACTTGCAGCCTTAGGCAGGGCAAGTTAAGCTGACTGAAGTGCCTTAAGCTGGTCAGACTTGTGTGAGGTGGGCGCCAAGGACTGAAGGCCTCTGGGAAAGAACCTGAGTTAATTTTGCAGTGGAGATATGACCAAAAGTAGATGGTGGGGTGAAAAAAAAAAAAAAAGGAAGGAAACATTGCCTGGACTGGCTCTGAATTTGGTGTGGGAGTAGAAAACCAAAGAAAATAAAATACCATCTTAATAAATGTGATCTGGTGGATAGAGCTGGCAAATCTAGACCTCAGGATTCCTGGGTTAGATTACCAGTCTGTCTGCCAAGAGGTGGATTTGGATAGCCGTTTCCCCAAGCTGCTTCTCCTTGGTGAAATGAAAGAGGAGTATCTACACAGGTAGCTAAAAGACTGTGGGCATTTTCTGTTAGGGAGAATTATTTATGTCTCCCTCCCGACTGTTGTAGGAGGCTGCCTGTTAGCCAGCTGCTGCAACAGACGGCTGCTTTGCCGTGGTCCCATGGGAAATGACCTGTATGTTGACATAGCAGCAGTGGTGCTGTTTGTCATGCAGTTCTGTTGGGACTGCACCCAGCCACAGTATGCTAATTGGACTGGCTCTGAATTTGGTGTGGGAGTAGAAAACCAAAGAAAATAAAATACCATCTTAATAAATGTGATCTGGTGGATAGAGCTGGCAAATCTAGACCTCAGGATTCCTGGGTTAGATTACCAGTCTGTCTGCCAAGAGGTGGATTTGGATAGCCGTTTCCCCAAGCTGCTTCTCCTTGGTGAAATGAAAGAGGAGTATCTACACAGGTAGCTAAAAGACTGTGGGCATTTTCTGTTAGGGAGAATTATTTATGTCTCCCTCCCGACTGTTGTAGGAGGCTGCCTGTTAGCCAGCTGCTGCAACAGACGGCTGCTTTGCCGTGGTCCCATGGGAAATGACCTGTATGTTGACATAGCAGCAGTGGTGCTGTTTGTCATGCAGTTCTGTTGGGACTGCACCCAGCCACAGTATGCTAATTAAGGTAACTTATCTAGCAGGATATAGCCCTCTGTGACCTGCTGTTGTTCCTTTCTCACTAGTTATTCCTAGACATGGCTTACAGAGTCTTGGGAAAGTTGCTGCTGCCCGGCGCATGCCACCTCCTGCAAACTTGCCTAGCTTGAAGTCTGAGAACAAAGGAAACGACCCCAACATCATTATAGTACCCAAGGACGGTACAGGATGGGCAAACAAGCAGGATCAGTCAGACCAAAAGAGGTAGGTAGAACTATTCTTTGCTAAGTTTTGTTAGGCAAGCAGCAGCAGTTGTGCACTGCTGTGCTGTGTGTTGGACCTTACAGTGATCGGTACTGTTGTCCATGCCAACGTAGAGCCACTATTAGGTTGAACTTTTAGCAACTGTTACATTGCCAGCATTGGTTGTCTGTCGTCTTGCCTGCCTTCCCCTTTGATCTCACCTCTGTTGTCTCTTTTCAGTTCCAGTGCAACGGCTGCACAGCTGCAGGAGTCGCTGCCGCAGCAGGGTTTGCAGAAATCTGTCTCCAATTTACAGAAGCCGACACAGTCAATCAGTCAGGAGGTAGGTACAGGCGGTCTCTGTGATGGCCACCCTGCTTCCCCTGTCCCCAGACAGCTTGAGGGTTTTCTTTAATTGTCTGTGTTGCCTCGCACAAGTAAGAATCAGCAGACTGCAATTTACAGAACAGCTCCTGTATAATCAATTCTTGTAGAATTGACTGTCTTGGCTCCAAGTTACTGTGCCCCAGCAATGCTGTGCTGCAGTTAGAGTATAATTTTGTGCACATTACCTCTGTACCTTTCAAGTGCGTGCAGAAAGTCTAGCTTCAATCTAAAAGAATGGCTGGAATGTGGGAAGGCTGGGTAGCACTTCTAAACTATTTTACTTTGGGTCTAATTCAAGTGTCGCTTGGTGACAACAGATCCAGCTCTTGCTCCCAGCCTGATGAGACTTGATAAGAAGAGATCTGGTCATGTGGGAGGAATAGCCAGTGTCAGGACCTGAAAAAGCTACTGGCAAGTAAGAAAGCTTCCCCAGAGAGTGCAGGGACCTGGCCCCTCTGCGCTGCAGGTTTCACACTTCTAGTTTAAAAAAAATTTCCCAGCCCTTGAGGTTCAGGGAAATCAGGACAGGAGTTATGTTTTGAAGAGTGGTTAATGCATGAGAAAGTAGGGTAGCCTTCAAGCTGAGGTGTAGCATGGAACAAATCTAGAAGATTAAGAGGGACCATTTGGGAAAATGCAACAGAACAAAGGGAAAGCTTGATTAGAGGGAGGAAAGCAAGAGGAATGGTTTGAGGAAATAGTTGGTGAAGATGAGTGGAGATGAGAAGCAGGGCGGAAAAGAGGATTTTTGCTGTAGCATCATAGTACACTGGAGTGGGGAGTAGCTAACTTTAGCCCCAACAAGAAGCTGGGGAGACCTGTGGTATCCAGTGACATCTGGGTGATCTGGAGGTCTGAACTGTAGCAGGTGCCAGCCAGGAAATGAGAAACAGTCATGAGACTTCACTGATTGGTGGGTGTTGGGTTTTTTGTGTTCTATTTTGTTTTCAGAGTACAAATTCAGTGCCAGGTGGACCAAAGTCATGGGCACAGCTGAATGGAAAGCCAGCAGGACAAGAAGGTGGTGAGTATGATAAACAGAAATGGAGCTGGGTATGTGCCTGCTTCTCCGAGACAGGCATGAGATGGGGTGGGCTCCATTTCTTCCTGCCCTCCCTGTCTAGACTGGTGCGGAATGGGACACAGCTGTCTTGGTTACAGTGCAGTGAGGCCATGTGAGTCCTGTTTTCAGTCTTTGTAGTGTGTTGGCTGGAATGATGCAATTGCATCTGTTCAGGTCTGCCAGTGCAAGACATAGCTTGAGCAGAATGTGTCTCATCGCCACCTTGAACCAGAATGATTCACAGACTTGGGAAGCAGTGGGGAGTTCTGGGAGGTGGAAGTTTTGAAGGAGAAGGGAAACATTTTCCCCCTCATAAGCATATTCCATCAGCCCAGAGCAGTGTGTAATAAAGGTGCAGAAAACAGACTGGAAGAGGGAGGGATTGGTTTAGAAGAAAGGAGAGGACAGGACATCGGAGACTGGAAATGTAGGCATCTCCATGGCTAGTAGCATGAGGAGCTTCACTGAATTAGGTGGTCAAAAGTGAGGCTGTAATGATAATGCTCAGGGAGGCTGTAGACAGTGTCCTTGGTCCAAGGGTATTACAGTTGCAGTGGGTGGAAGCGACAGTGAAGCTGTTGCAGGATGCACTTAAGTACACCTTGGCTGAGGCCTTTCTATTAAGTCTCCCTAAGTAACTGTGCTGCTAATGGCTTCTGCTTGACTGAGGATCCTGAAGCAGTGTTAACGTAAATTGGGAGTTCAGTTGTCTTCAGATGCATCCATTTCCACACGGGAGGTGGTTTCCAGCTGCACTGAGTACTACCATTAAAACTTCAGTGAGAATAACAGCACAGTTCCACTGTTTTAATGTGAACAGACCTGGAACCATTCAGTTGTCGAGTGAAATTGCAGAGAGACTTGAAAGAATTTGAGGCAGCTGTAGATTGCAGAAATGGAGGGAACAAGTTATGTGAAATTAAATTAGTCCCTTAATGAGAGGGTGTTTCTCAAAGGCTAAATGTTAAAGCAGAATTTTGTGCTTGCCTGAGGTTGGTGGCCAGTGCAAAGACTGTGTCTTGGTTAATAGGTACTTTTTTTGAGACTGTTGCTGTGTGGACCTCCTGTACAGTCATTTTGAAATCTGATCATCTAACAGTGTCCTTAAAGATACTTCTAATAACTCATTCTAGGTCACACTTACCAATATAGAGCTTTCAACCCAAGGAAAGAGTTGCATATGTGGCTAAGAGCAGCTTAATTAGAAGGTAATTGAATCACAGAAGCATCAGAAATCTGGCTGAAAGGACTTCTTAGGCTATCCCATCCTTGCACCTAGTCTCTAGTGGCATTGAACAACTGCTTTTCCTTCTAAGCTAATACAGCAGTTTCTAGTATTATTGACAAAGAGGAAAGTCTTTTGCTTTTTTGCTCTCTTTTAGGTATTACTGCTGTAAAGTTTCTTTTGGAGGGTGTATCCTGAAGAAATGTGATTTAGTTAATCATGAATTCTGTATAAGAGGCATTTGGAGTAAAACAAAATGCACAAACTTTTATCAGTGTGATGATGCCTAGGGTTAGAGTGCAAATTGTTGATGCCTGCACATTAACAATCATTACATTATGCAGCCTCACCTGTGGGGTGGAAGTCTCCCCTGAAAGACACTTATGTGTTGTTAATATTGTTATTGCCATTCTAGTTCAGTAGAATGATGCAGTAGAAATCAGAATTCTTGGCACATCTCGGATATTTTGTGGTGCATTTGAGAAATATCCTTGTGTATTCTCATCTGTCCAAAATACGTGAAGATGTTATGTGTAGCAGTTGCAGTGTCTTTCCTGGAAATCTCCAGATGGGAGGTCTTGTGCAGTGTGCAAGTTCCAGAAAGTGAAAATGACTTAAGGAAGCCAATCCTTCTTGACTTGTTAGGGCAAGGAAAGATAAAGATAGATGAGACTCCTCTGTCAGGTCTTCAATACTCTTTGCTGATACTTCTAACATGGTAATTCTGAAATGCCCTTTTTAAAAATAGCATTAGGCAAGCAACACCAAGAAACAGTTCTCAAAAAAGCAATTTTTTTAATATTTAGTAGTGCAATAATGCTGACAATTTCCTTTTATTCAGTGTCATCTTGCCAACAGGTTTAGGAGTATTGCGGCGTTTTGTTTTCCAGTCACTGGCAGATGTTTAGAATGGACAGAGAGCTGTCATCCTGGGTGGCTGATGACTCAGCAAGACATTTTGCCAATGACAAGAAACGAACCTGGCCTGATCTGGCCAGTGATCTGCATCTTAAAAATGCTGCAGCAGGGAGGAGAGTGGGGTATAGCATGTACTACTTGGTCCTCATCTGTGGTCTTTCACTCAGTATATTGCTAGAAATCTTAACAATAGACTTCCCCAGAAGAGTGAGATCTGAGCAAAAAGAGTCTGAATAGAAATGTCAAATACTTGATAACAGGGTGTCATCTGTAAGCAATCGTGCAGAATTTGTCTCTCTGCCTCAATCTGAATTTTGTATTTTACAAAAGTAATTGGAAGCTGAGAAAGTTCCCTCCGACTTTGTTGAACATGAGAATTGAAATGAAGATCCCAAGTTAAGAGTGTGGGAGTACTGGTGAGGACATGTGTTGTCATGTTGGTGACAGTGTCTGAGAGTGTTTGGGATGTGAGCTGAGGTGCTGGTATGAGAGTAATTTGGGTTTAAATATGGTGGAGGCCCAGATTCTCAGGAAATGTGTTTGCAGGCTGATCTTGTAAGGTAATTGAAAGAGTGGAAAGATATCTGAGTCCCACGCTTATTTGTCTGACAGGTTCAAGGGCCTCAAGCCGACTGTTATCCTTCTCTCCCGAGGAATTTCCGACGCTGAAAGCAGCTGGCGAGCAGGACAAGGTTGGCAAAGAAAAGGGCGCCTTAGATCCGTCGTATGGGCCAGGACCAAGCCTCCGCCCCCAGAGTAAGTGAATGATGGTATCTTTCTGCTTTATCCCAGCTCATATCCCCATAGACTGTTTTGGGCAGGGGAATGCCAGTTCACAGTAGGATCAGATATTCCATCCATACATCTCCTTTTACCTTTTTATGAGCTCACACGTGTCAAGCTGACTGCAGATTCATATGTAGCGCTGATGTTCACTGCCTGAGTTCTGTGGTCCAGACAGCCAAGTATGGACTGTCATCTACTACACTGTTTCATAAAAATTGCTGTGTGATTTTGCAAAGCAGGCCTCTTCTCCCTGGGCTAAGGGAGAGTCACAAGTGAAATGAGTGGATGGTGTAATGTGGCTTCTCTTTGAGTGTTTGTGCATGATCTAATTGGCCTTAATTGTGTAGGACAAGGACTGTGGAGACGGGGAACAGAGTTGGTTGGAATTTAGGCTTATTGACAAACAAGGACAGCACTTAGTAATGGCTGATGCCGCTAGTCTCTTAGGAAAATAAATAGTTTGGAAATTTTCTTTGGTCCCTGATGTTTTTCTACATGCTCAGTATAATCAGGGCTTGATCAGAGTATTTAGGTTTCGAGACTTTTTCGACGAGTTTCTGTCTGCAGTTACAAATGTTAACTTAATTATTACCTCCTTTCCAGATGTCACCAGTTGGAGGGAGGGCGGTGGGAGGAACATAACCTCTGCCACATCTCTGACCGCCTCCCCTGCTGAGCTGGGCAGCAAGACCTCTAGCACCGGAGACGGAGCCCCCTCCTCAGTGAGTGCCAGCGATCCAAAGGAGCCGTCTCTCCGCCCAGCTCAGCCTGTCCGCAAAGGGGCTTCGCAGTTCATGGGAAATGTCTACCAACCACCTACATACCATGACATGCTACCTGCTTTTGTAAGTTGCCCTTTCCCCACAGCTGTGTAATGTTGTTGCTGCTTACAGTGTGTGCGTGTGGTGAAGTCATCCGAGATACCTGTTTTCTGGACTCTCAGTTGATTCCCAGGGCTTGCTCAAGGATCCTTCTCTTGATCTATTTTTAGTTTCCCCTGTTGTGCATTTACCCTTTCATGCTAGAATAGTGTAGCACAGCCTTGCTCCACCCAAGGAAACGTTGCTGCTTGCCCTGTAGAGCTGGAGAGGGTAATCATTAGCATGTGGCCTGTTAGGCAGCCAGACGTGAAATGTTTGTTTTCCCTTTGTGCAAATGCAGCTACCGTGCTTATGTTGTAAGCTAAATCTGGGTAAGTCTTCCTGTAGCAAGGAGAGAAACCAAACTATTCTGCTTTGCCTTGTTCCAGATGTGTCCACAACAGCCATCTGAGACCCCTGCACCGCTGGACCGAGGGTCTTTCCCCCTTCCTCAGCTTCGGCTTGAGCCCCGGGTACCTTTCAGACAATACCAGATGAATGACCAGGATGGGTAAGGCTGCCATGACTGTCACACTTTAGAGGCAGGTTCAGAGTGTGACATGAACCTTAAACTAGGCAAGAATTTGGGCCAAGGATCCAGTTGTGTGGGTGATGCTGCAGGCAGCCACAGAGGAAACCTGATTTTTTTACCCAGAGCAGCAGTGCTCCAGCTACAGCAGCATGTGAAATGTTGCGGGATTGCAAGCACTGTGCGTGTCTGAAGAGCACGTGGATGTGAGAAGCAGTTGTGTGTGATCCTGGACTGGAAGGGTTGCAGCTCTGATCTGTAAGCCCTAGGAAGTGGGTACCAGGTAGACAAGGGAAAGAAACTTTGCTGGACGGGGAGAGAAGCCTGGAGCCCTTGTATATAAGTGCACAGTAGAAAAGGACTGATTCGCGGTTACAAACTCGGCTCTACACTCTCCTTTACTGTTTGCTGTTTCTAACAATTTCTTTGCATTTCCCTGTAGAAAAGAAAACAGGCTTAGCCTGTCTCGCCCAACACGTCCAGTTCGGCAGCAAATAGAGAGAGCACCTCGGCCCACCATTATCAATGCAGAGAACCTAAAGGGGCTGGATGAACTAGACACTGATGCGGATGACGGATGGGCAGGTAAAGTGCTTCCATTCTATAGCTTCAGGCAACAACTTGGGAGGTGAAGCAAAGTAGTTACTCCTCCCTGAAGCATGAAATAGCTAGGATATTCTGGTGGCTCTGTTTTACTGCCACAGAAAGGAGGAGGGGAAGCAAATTGTGTAATTGTGAATTGCTGCTGGTGTAAATGATGACACAATGGATCCTTCTGATCCTTCCATCACACTGTGCTCAAGGAACAGGATCTGAAGACTCCTAAAAGCTGAAAACACCAAACAGCAGGAGGATAGCAGTATGGCTGCTGGGAAGAAGAGTTAGTCCTGCCTTTTTGGTCATGGCGTTCAGTATCCAGTTACACACAGTCTGGCTCGGTGGCTGTCTCTTCGTTTGCAGCCTCTGTTCCCAGACTGCTTGCTGCTCCTCTTCTGGGAGCCCAGCTGTTCAGCAATGTGGGTCCACGCTATTCATGTAATTTCCAGTACCTGTGGTGGACATTTGGTTTTCCAAGTAGTTTACACCAAGCCTGTGTGTTCTCTGGTTTAGTGCTTTACTGGGAGAAAGGACCTGTTTCTTTCATAATGTCCCTTCTCCAATCCTGTCTTTGTAGGCATTCATGATGAAGTGGATTACTCGGAGAAACTGAAGTTTAGTGAAGATGAGGAAGAGGAAGAAACTCTTAAAGATGGACGACAGAAGTGGTAAGAAGTGGCTGTATTGGCACCTAAAGTTGTTTCAATAAAAGGATCCCAGTACTGTTTAATTTTAAGACTTGTTCTGAATGTTGAGGCTTGATCCTCCAATTCCTACTGTGACTTTGTTGATTCCACTGGCCATCATTTGAGTGAGCCTCAAGGATGTGCCTGGGTCTTGAAGCTGAGTGCCAGGATGCCAGGCTCTTTTCCTCTTCCCCTTTCTGTGTCTCATGTTTATCCTGCTGCACAACAGTGGTGGTAATCCTTATCCACCTTAGGAGGAAAAGCACATTGCTCATTCTGGTGGGTTTTTTTGGGTTTTGGATCTTTCCTTTCTGTTAGTCAGTTGCCTTTGCTGCTTGATAAGACTGCAAGTGCTTTTTCAGGCAAGTAGCAAATATAATAGCAAAGCGGTTTATATGACAGGAACAGCTGGGATCCCAGAAGGCAGAGACAATTGTCCCTGAGCTCTGCAGACAGTGCAGATGTCAAACACACCTTGGAGGAAGGAAAGAATTGGGGTGACTCGGCTGGCTTGTCCCGGTCAGTCCGGAAAGTGCAGGATACACAACAGCCTCCGAGGAAACTGAATGGCTGGAGCTCTGCATCTGAATACCAGGTAGGTTGAATTCATGTGAGTGGGCTTGTGCTGCTGCATGCAACGCATCGCTGTCCTTAAGAGGCTGGTGTGACATTTTATTGAAAATGGGATGCTGATGAATTTATCAATTCTTTGTTTATATCCACCTCTAGAGGTAGCCATCTGCATAGCCCTCCCACTAGAGAAGAGAAATTGAAGCTGGTCCAGAGCAGTGGGGTTGTCAGACAGTGATAAAATGGAGATACTGAACGAGATAGCAGTAACTCCCCACCAAAGGGGGGATTTGTGTGTGTGAGAATGGGGAGGGAGTCAGGAGGGGATTTTCTCAGCATGGAATGCAAAGCTCAGGATGCAGGAGGTGTTTGGGCCCTGCTTATTGAGGAATGTTTTTTTTTTCTTCTGCAGAAGCCCACACTGGGAGGTATTCTCAGACAGCAGTCCCTTGAGGATAAAGAAGAAAAGGTGCCACTGAGGCAGAAGTTTGTGCACTCTGAGATCTCAGAGGCTGTAGAGAGAGCCAGGAGACGACGGGAGGAGGAGGAGCGACGAGCCAGGGAGGAGCGTCTGGCAGCCTGTGCTGCAAAGCTGAAGCAACTCGATCAGAAATGCAAACTGGCCCAGAAGAATGGGGAGAACCAGAAACACACAGAGAATGAAGACTTGCGACCCCCAAGCACAGAGAAAAATGCTGTGCAAGAGAATGGTCATGCTTTCCGTAGAGGTAAAGAAGCATTGCTTGCCTCACCTCGTAAAAAATGCTTTTCTGCTATTGTGCCAGTCTCTTACCTGAAGTGCAGGGGAGTTCCTGGGAGGGAGCATTCGGGTGGCTTGAGAGATCAGCTTATTCCTGTATTCTGCAGAGTATTTTGGATTGTTGATGAAGGTTCATTTAAAAAAACAAACACATCCTATTAAAACAAGTGCAGACTTCTTTGGTTGCCTTTATCTATGCTCAGTCAGCTGTGCTAGCAGAGACCTTGTTGGAATAAGCCTTTTGATCTTTTCATGATTGGATGATGATACTAAGAAAGTGCTCATGGGCCACAGATCAGAAAATTGGTTATCAGTAAGTGCTGGCATGTTTAAGGAATAACAGGGGAAATAGATTTTTTTTTTTTTTTCCCCCCAGTGCTTAAAGAGAAGGGTGATGACAGAGGAGGATCTTGGAATTTATCATTAAAACAAGACAGACAAAGCCCTTGCTGTCAAGGCAAATCAGGGAGGTTGTGGCCAATGTGCTATATATGATTGTAATAAAGTTGAACCACATAGCACAGTCAGGACGTGCCCACACCCATGTATGTTGTAGTGTGGTGGTGCACTCCCAAGCCCTGTCATGAGCAGGGCTCTTCAAGGCTTATTTTCTTCTCTGCAGCAACCCCGGAGTTTCACACGCAGGATGTCTCTGTTGGCTATCTGGAAGAGGAGACTCCTGCCCCAGCAGCAGCAGCAGCAGCCCAAAGCAGCAGTGAGGAGGAGCTCAGAGAAGCTCCCTCCCCAGCACAGGAATTCAACAAATACCAGAAGTCTCTTCCCCCACGATTCCAGAGGCAGCAGCAGCAACAACAGCAGGTAATAGGTGTGACACTCCCACCCCTCTTCCTTTGGACCCCCCCCAAGCCATTGTGTTCGCTTGATTCTCAACACAATCAGCACCAGCTAACCAACTGTCTTTGGGCTGGGGGGTGATAAATGGGAGTTTTACCCCGGCCTTATTCAGTACTTTTGATCAGAGGTGTGTCCTGTCTGACAGGAGTAAAAGGGCTCTATATAGGTTACATAAAATTCATGTGCACCCTGTGATGCTGGAGCGGTTGTGGGTAGGGCTTTCTGTGGCTGGGGAGAGGCATGGGCAGCCCATGTTTGTCACTTGCCTGGAAGAAAAGTAGATGCTGCTGTCAGAGATGTTGACTTGTCTTGCACGGTTGTCTGGGTACCTCCTGACAATGTGAAATCTTAGGACTACGTGGTTTGTAGCTGAGCTCTGGTTTGCAAATGTGCGTATGCAGGAGAAGCTGGGGGCATTGCCTTTCCCATGTCCAAAGTCAAGAGAGCAGCAGTGGTTACCCTGATACTTGCCTGATCCAGTCAAGTCTCTAATGCATTCAGCTGGCAGTGAACCTGGTGAACATCTGTTCTTACTCCCTGGCACAAGATGAGAGCTGCTGTTCTTCAGCACTGCTGTAGTGACAGGGAGCTGAATATACAGGACAAGGGAAAGGAAAGCCTTTGGGGAATCAGCTGCTTCCATTTCACTTTGCACTTGCTGTGCCCTTACCCTGTTGGGTATGGACATTTATTTGCTTGCTCAGGCAGACTGTGCTTAGGTTGGCAGGTGGTTGGACTCTGCTTCTGGGCTGAACATGAGTGTTGTGAAGCGGCACGATTCTTGTTCCACCTCCTGCCTTTGCAGAGTGGTGGTCCTCTACATCCGCGCTCATCTTCTACCCTACCCAACTTCTTTTCTGAGAGGCTCTTTCAAATCAGTATTTTCTTTGCACCATAAATATGTTTGGTCTTAATAGTTTCATTTTTATTTCACTGAAAACTCTCTTCTGGGGCTCTGAGGGACGAGCCTGAAATGCTTTATATGTCTTGCATCTTGCCTGGCCTTACAGTGCTGTATATGCTATGCACACTGTTCAACTCTTCTTCCAGATGCAGTCAGCCTTCTCAGGGCAGCAGAGTCAAAGGAAGGGACAGAATATACAGGCTGGAGATAATGCAAAGTTAATTGCCATTCTTCGTAGAATAACCACTTGAAATGTGATACAATCAACGCTGCTGCAAACCTTAGTGAAGAGCTCATATTTGGCTTTTGCTTGGAAGCTCAGTAATTGCTCTTTTATGGATGTTCCCCTGTGCTTGTTACCGGGCAGTTGACATTTTCATGATTCAAATGTACAGCAGCAAGTGCTGCCAGTGTTACTCTTTTTTAAAGAGATGCTCTTGAACTAAAAATAATTGGATGTCTTTGCTGTCATGCTAATAATACCACAGGCCATTGCTACTGGAAGAACATGAAATTTTCATTTTATTTTCTCTTATCCTCTGTGTTGTTAGTATATATGAGGCAGTTTGTATTTTGGCTGGCTCGTATTGCTGTTTTGGTAGCAATGGTTCCATGAAAAGACCAAAATAAAAAATAGTGTTGGTATCATTAATGAAATATTTTCTCCAAGGTACTGGAGGACTAGGTAACTCAGATATAATTGTGGCATTTACCCGAGTTTCTCTCTTGCTGTAATGATGTGTCGGATTCGGATTTAAGGGTGTCTCTCTTGCTCTGCAGTAGGGGATTGGCTTTTTTTATAAACAGTTACGGTATCTGACGCTGTTGTAAGCTTAGCAAGAAAAGATGGTGGAAAGTTTGACAGGTAAATAGACGTATTTCATGCTAATTGGAGCTGTTTACCTTTTGAAAGCTTTCTTCGGTACACAAAGCTCCCTTCAAATATAGGTTCTTCTTGGACCTTTAGCAAAAGTTAAATGTCACATCAGATTAGCAGCATGGCAGTCCTCGGCTAAAAGAAGGTAGACTGGCCACATTGGGAGATGGGACACAACCTGAAGGTGTCAGCCTGTCTCTGGAGGATGCAGAGGAAATACTGTAAAATATACCTCTCTTAATTGAGCTTAGGTTGTTCTATCTAATCTGCTTGGCTAACATGAGTAGAACTAATATATATGCACACTAAATAACTTATAATTGCATTTCCTCCAAAGAGTGGCATCATCCAAAGTATTTGGTTCCAATTAGGAAATTGTGTTTGAGAGGACACTGTCTTGTGTCTCATAGAAGCACTGAGAAAATGCAAACTCCGGTCTTGAAGCTGATCCCTTGCATTTGGCCATGTAGTGTTGGCCCATAGTGGTGTGAGATTCTGGCTGTTCTGGGTATTTGGAGAATGACAACTCCCAGTTGGTAGTGAGTTGCCCTTATCTGCTTTACCCTCCCATCTGATCTGGTTTTGAGCCTTTAACGCATGGAATGTGTTTTCCTTCGGCTGGCCAGTTTGCAAGTGTAATTCCTGGCACTGTGACCACTCACGTCAAAAGGCCCATCCTTCTTCTCTGCAGGAGCAGCTGTACAAGATGCAGCACTGGCAGCAGCAGCAAGTCTATCCTCCCCCATCCCATTCCCATCCCCAACGGACGTTCTACCCACCGCACCCCCAGATGCTTGGCTTTGATCCTCGCTGGATGATGATGCCCTCTTATATGGACCCTCGCATGGCCCAGAGTCGCACCCCTGTGGATTTCTACCCTTCAGCCCTTCACCCTTCAGGTAAGATGTTTTCAGTGTTTCCCTTTATCATGGCTGTTGAGTTGGTCCATATCTGGAAAGTTGCTGTGCTTCACCCATCTTACCTCTGTCTAGACTTTGCGTTCTGGCTGGCTGTTTTTGACCTTCTCTAGGAATGAGAAAGAGTTGCTTGCAGTGAGAGCTGGTGAGGGAACAGAGGAGGTTGTGAGGGGAGGACACCTCCCTGTCCATCCCTTGCACTGCAGTGGGAGATCTTCCCTAACAGCTGTGAAGCCTTCAGGTGGAAAACCAGATCTTGCCCCTTGGAGGAGAAGGATCAGTTTGGGAGTTATTGTAATCATTGTGAAATTTTAATAGACCCCCTTCAAGAAATGTGATGAAGAAATCCTGTAGTTCCTGAGCTATGTGCTCCTAGTAACTTTCTACCTTGTTACTAATCTTCAGAGGTGTGAATATAAACATCAGGATGTATAAATCATTCCCTTGACTTTATGGTTGGTTTTCACACACCTGCTTGCTTCCAAGCCAGTGGTGTTCTGCCAAGTAGTGTTCTGTGCAGGCTGGGCTCTGAAAGCTCTGTCACCTTCTGTATTACTCTAGGTGTATTTCCCAGCTGTGTATTTCCCAAGTACAGGCTCCCCTCTACCAGAAAGGTTTCTATGGCTGCAGTCACCTGCTGATCTGGAAGGAAGGGGAGTCAAGCTACTGTGGATTGTTAATTGTTTTTGGCTATGAGATTCTAGTGTTAATGATATGAACTCTGTTGTGATCAGGAAGGATTAGGCAGAAAGGAAAACTGCTCCCTTGGACACTGTGCCAGTGTGGGGCCAGGAGAGCTACACATCTCTGCAGAGCAAAGGGTACTCCCTGTCACATCAAAAACAGGCTGACAACATGACCATGGAGGGGCTGCATGCCAGGTGAGTGCAGAACTCCCCTGTCCTCACACGTGCTGTGATGGGAGGTGCTGCCATAAGTCATCTCCTACTGAAAAGCAGATGTAGAGTTGACCCAAAGGATATGTCTGAACAGGCCAAAGTACTGATCTGGTAGCACCCTTATGCTGTTGAGCGTTTATGTTGTGGAGGTGCTTGCAGACTGAGCTATTCAGAGTTTTTCTATCTGATGCCAGTCAAGCCTGACCATCTTCGAGCCTGTTCAGTAGGAGAGAGGCACTTGTCACCTACGTGGGTAGGTACAGGAAACAATGAGTCAAAAATTCTGATACTTTCTAGCTTGTCTTCTAATTCTTTGGGACTTTCTGAAACCAATTCCTTGTTTTCAGATCTCCACATATGTTGGAGGCTGAATCTCCCTTTATTTCTTAAGTTTGCTGCCCATCATAGGAACTGCTTTCTTTATCATCCATTGATTTGACAAACCAGGCAGTACAGCCTGGGGCCACAGCAGATCTGCCCAGCATTCAGGTATTTATAGGCTCATTGCCTCATGATTTAGAACAAACCCCCATTTATTTATTTGTTTGCACCTCTTGTGCCCAGCCTGGGCCCTTGGAGATGTGCTATGCTCTGCATTAGCTGACTTTCTTTTGTTTGTTGTTTGTTTCCTTCTCAGGAATGACAGTTACTCTGCTTCTCCTGGAAGGCCAGAGAGTCTGAGCACCCAGCGAGATCTCTTTGAGGAGAGAGGGGAGGAATATTTGAATGCTTTTGACAAGAAGGCCCAATCAGACTTTGACAGCTGCCTGTCTTCTCAGAGGATAGGCCAAGATCTCTTGTTTCAGCATCAGGAGACTGTGCAGGAAACCTGTCCTGCTGGCAACCGCCACACAAACTTGAGGTGTTCACCCCTAGAGCCTGACTTTATCCAAGCAGAGAAGAAGCCTGAATATAACGGCTGGGATATCAGCCACCATCAGAAACCTGCAGAGACTGCAACGGAAGTTGCCGAAGAAGTGTCCAGGGATGAGCAGTCATTCAGTGGTGACCCTTGGAAGAAAGAAGGCGCTAATACCAAACAGCCCACTGAAGAGACAACAGAGTGGGCTCCTGAGAACCGGAACACCAGTGGTCAGCACCAGGAGCAAATGGGGAGGACACGGCGATCAGGCCCAATTAAAAAACCAGTCCTGAAAGCCCTCAAGGTGGAAGAGAAGGAGAAGGAGATGGAGAAGGTTAAACTGGAGGGAGAGGACACCTCACGCCCACTGAAGGAGAAGGCAGCTGTTCAGAAAGTAGAAAATGAGTCAGATGATTCTGCAGCCTTGCTGAACTCCACACGTTACCTGCTGGATGACAAAGGTTCTTCCCAAGCCAGCCTTGCCCGAGAGGCTGAGAAATCCCAAGAGGAAGAAGAGGAGGAAGAGGAGGAAGAGAAGACAGAAAGAACCTGGGAGAACAAACTATCCAGAGAGTCTGGTGATCTCCCTCCGACAAAAAGAAACAACTGGATCTTCATTGATGAGGAACAAGCCTTTGGTGGGAGAGGTCAAGGACGTGGGCGAGGAAGAGGCTTCAGAGAGTTCACTTTCAGAGGCAGAGGCACTGTTGTGGGCAGCCGGGGAGTCTATAACAACCAGCGGAGCAGCCGAGGGAGAGGGCTTCGGGAGTTCAACCAGCCAGAGGACTTCCCAAGAGGCAAGCCAAGGCGCCGGATTGCAAGTGAGACGCACAGTGAAGGCTCAGAATATGAGGAGCTCCCTAAGCGTCGTCGGCAGAGGGGCTCGGAAAACAGCAATGAGGGCTCTGTGCTGGACAGGGAGGACAGCGATTTGAAAAAGGGAGACTTCAAAGAGTCTTGGAGGTCCAACAAGATCTATTCAGATGATCACAGTAGTCTGGATCCGAAGATGAGGGCTCCAAGAGCTTTTGGGAGATCACTGCCGCCGAGACTGAGCAACTCTGGCTATGGGCGAAGGGGTTTCATGGGTAAAGAGCCCACCCAGTGGCAAGGCAGGAGTGGGGGAGCTGGGTGGCAGGAGTACAGCCACACCTCTCCATCGGACGCTTTTGGGAGCAGGCAGCAGTCTGACAGGGACTACATCCAGGATTCTTATAAGCACGTGGATTCCTTCTCCGGCCGGGTTTTTGATGAGAGTCATCTGGATGACAAAAGGCACTTTTTCCAGGAGGATTACTCAGTGGATCAGGAGAACATAGAGAACAGGCCATTCAGGAGGCGGCGTCCCCCCCGCCAAGACAAGCCCCCACGATTCAGGCGCCTCAGACAAGAGAGGGAATCAGTCGGCCAGTGGAACCCTGAGGAGGGAGGCCCCAACCTGCTGCCCAGCCAGTGGCCTGGAAGACCCAAGCTGACCACTGCAGAGAAGGGCAGCATCTCAGGCAGACGGTCTCCTGAGCTGTCCTACCAGAACTCATCAGACCATGCCAACGAGGAGTGGGAGACAGCATCTGAAAGCAGTGACTTCAGCGAGCGGCGGGAGAGGCGAGATGGGGTTTCAGAGAGCGAAGGCCAGCTGGAGGGTGGCCTCGGGAGTGGGAGCTTGGGAGAGAAGAGGGAGCTAGCGAAGAGGAGCTTCTCAAGCCAAAGGCCGCTTGTCGACAGGCAGAGCCGCAAGGCCGAGCCAGCAGGGTTTGCGGAGCAGTCCGTCAGGACTGGTGTAGGAGCAGCTTCCAGATATGAGAGCCAGCAGAATGGGACACTGATAAAAAGCAAAAGGTAAAGTTGTGTTCTGATGTACAAGTATCTGTCATCTGACATTGGAGGAGTGGAGAAGGGCTGGACTGTGGGTGAGGAGCTGTTGGCTGCGTTTCTTTTCATCTAGTGCGGGTGACTTCCAGCACTGTTTACGACATCCAAGGGTTACTTCATTATCTGTTTTACAGCTGGTTGATGCCTTTGCTTCCGTGCTGGGAATACAGGTTTATGAAAGTTGCTGAGACACTGTGGGCATGACATGTACTGCTGCTCTTTACCTTAGTTTCGGGCCAAGACAGCTTTCCATTCTCTGGACTGCCTCTCACTAGAGGCATGAAAGATCAGGAAGGAAATTCTTGTCCTTAACTCCAGACCTATTGTGTCCTTCCTCTCCTATCATGGGTCCCCAGTGGAGTATGGCAGAGCAGAGAAGTGAGGGTTGGGTTCTTCTGGGATAAGTTGCTGTGAGCTGCACAGGTTGAGCACCTAGATTCCGAGTAGTGTGGTTGTGGCATGAGTGCAACACGTGACATTGCCAGTCCTAGCTTTGCCTGAGCAAATGTCTTCTTAGACCTTAGTGGAGACCAGTCATGAATGGCAAGCAGTGCTGTGTGTTCCTAACCTGGTGGGAGGAGTTCCTCCTGGGAGTATTCTAAGACAACTCTGATGCTAGGATTAAGTATCTCCTTGCAAGTGTCTTGTGAAAAATCTGGTGATTGACAGGATGATGGGTTAGGTGGGCCTTGGTCCTGGGCCAGTTTGACAGCTCCCTTGTTACCCTTTTTCTTTAGCGGGGAAAAGGAGGAAGTCTTGTGCAGCTGCATTGTATTGGGCTTAAAGCACTGATAAACAGGCCACTTGTCTGTTTTCTGTCCTCTTGTGATGCATCTTCCCCCACTCCTGGATGTAGTAACTAACAGCAGTTTATATGGAAATAAAGGAGAGGAGAGCAGGCAGGAAGGGGAAGTAAAGGAAGGCAGAAGCTTTGGGTTTTTTTTTTTTTCCTTCTCCTTTAACGGTGCCTCTTGTGAGTTGCAACGCTTGGGAATGATGTGTGGATGGTAGTCAAATGGGCAAAAAAATTCTGGGAGAAACAAAATAGGAAAACTATTTTTTCCCCTCAGTGTCATCAGCCTCTCTCCGTTTTCCCTCGCCTGGTGCTTGCCAAGAAATGTGTGTTACTTGCAAAGAGGAGCAGGGGAGCTGTTAGAGCAGTGTCACAGGAGGGTAGGAGACACTACAGGAGCACAGAGCCTTCCCTGTGGGGACAAGCTAGGGTACTGGCTTTGTTGCGGGGGCAGTGTTGCTTGACTCTTGAGTACAGGTATTGTTCTGTTTCCATCTCACTTCCCTGGTAACATCCTTGTAATGGGCTGTGTGTGCTCAGAATTTAACGTCTGCTTCAGCTGAGCAAAGGCTGAGGAAGGATGAGGTGCAGTTAAAAGGCTGGTAAAGAAAATATGTTTTCTTCTTGCCACTTCTACTCATCTTCTCATGAGAAATCTAATTCCCTTTCCTTCTTTTTTTGTAGGTCTCCAGAAGAAGGAGGGGGCCTTGGCAACACCAGTGGTGGGAGCAGCCACTCCATTTACAGCTTGGATAGGGCCTCCCATGTGAACTCAGAGAGTGCTGAGGGGCCAGGCAAAAAGCCAGAGAAGGAGCCCAAATCTACTGCGCAAAGAGCAAGTGAGAAGGGAGAGGCCTTGTCACAGTTTGAACTGAGTTATGGAAGTGAGTGTTTTAATTTGTTTCTTTAAAGGGGTAACACATTGTGGCTGAATTCAAGCCAGACTGATTTAATCCCGTGTACCTTTAAATATCAGGTTAGATTTTTTCCATTTATTTACAGAAACAAGAAAATTCCAGTGTATCTAAATAGGGAAAACATGGAAGACGAAGGTGATTTTAAATTTTAAACCCAAACTTCCGGCCAGATCTGCCAGTCTCTCTAATGTTTCTTCTGTAGAAAGTTTGGTTTTGGGGAGAATGCTTCCATATTTCTGCCTAGGATGTTACATTTCAAGCCTGAAATACCTTATGTGAAGGAATTTGAACGGGCATTCACAGTGTGGGGAGTTTGAGTCTGAACTCATGGCAGGAAGGCAAGAAATTAGTATTTCTGAAACCATTGGCATTAGGCCATGACTTGGCTTCTTGCCATTTGTAGAACTGAGGTTTTACATCCAGAGGTGATGGGTATGTTTTCAAAAGTACCTTTGCCTGCTTTGTCCATGCTGAAACTTAGGAAGGTGTGAGGTTTGTTCAACTGATACTATACCTGAAGTTACCCAAGTTACCACATGACTCGCATTCCAAAGCTCTCCCAGCTGGAGCGTGCTCACCTTGAGGCAGAGGGGAGCAAAGCCCTGCAGGATAAAGTGACTGGTAGATGTCAACAGATTACCATGGCTGTTTCAAAGCTTAGCTGCAGTGCTGCTGGCTGAGCTTGTTTGCCTATAGCATTGATCCTATTTGGAATGCACTTGTTAAATTGTTGTAATTATAAAGCTTTATATGCATGCACACACGCGATATTTTTTTCCCTGTATATGCTTTGTTCAGGTACCATCATCGATAATCGGGTGTCAAACATGGCAGAAGAGAATGAAGTAGGTTCTATAGCAGGTGAAGGCTTCATTGAGGTTCTTACTAAAAAGCAGCGTCGTCTGCTGGAAGAAGAGCGAAGGAAGAAAGAACAGGCTGCTCAGGTGAGGAATAGGAGGCAGAAAAGCTTAACCTGGTACATTGTTTGGACTGCTGTCAGAGGAACAGGGCCCCAAAAAGGGTTTGGATGAGCAGAAAAACATGAAGTTGGCCAAAGTAGTACGGATCCTTTGGGCAGGGGCTGTTGGTCCGAAAACGATGGTTAGATTTCTGGCTGCTCTCGTTTTCTAGTACAGTTCTTAATTGTGAGTTAAGGAGGGTTTTCTAAAGTGTTCCTTATCCAAAGTAACTTGGCTCACTAAGCCACTTGTTGGCTGTAGTTGGTGGGATACTGGGCAGCAGTAAGCTGTAGAGGAGGACCTCAGCCCTCTTGCTGTGTCAACAGTGTGTTCTTGCTAGACCAGGATGTGGTAGCTTCCTTGCTGGAGGTGTCATGTTTGTGTCTGAGCACCTGACCAGAAAGAAACGGAACAAACTGGAAGAAGCTCTGAGAATTTTGTGTTCGTAATAGGATAAAGGAGTAGATTTACAAGAAAAGATTAAAGATGGCAGCGTGGATAGCTTAGTTAAGTAATGTTTAGGAGAGGACATTTGTCTACATGTACTGGATTCTAGGGGGATAAGAGAATATTTTGACATGAAAGGAGGCTTGGTGAAATCTGGAGGACTAAATGCAAATGAAAAGCATTGTTGGGAAATGCTTCCTGACAAGGAAGGATTGCCGTAGGTTCATAGAGTCTCGCTAGCAAAGTTAAAAAAGCCTGGTTGCTTGGCATCTTTAAAATTAAGCTGAAGACAATGTGTGAATGTGTAACAGGAAAGGTCTTGTATTTGCAGAGATGTGCTTCTCTTTCTGTTCAGATCTTGGCTCTGTGAAAGAGCCATTTCTGTATTGTGAAATTATTAATTGATCTTGCTTTAGCTGGAGTAAAAGAGAGGAATTAAGCAGAGCAAGTCTGTTGTGTTAATTTTGCTTTGCGTTGTATCCTATCCCCCCACCTCCCCAGAAGAAAAGAATCTCCTGCTACCTCCCAGTAGCCACAGGGTCCATTTAACAAAAAAAAAAGCACTGGGAGAAAGTCAGAACTGCTTTGTATGGTTCTATTACGTGAGTTGGGGGCTTTTCACATTGCAGCGTTTAGAAATCCAGAGTTTGAACTTGCCAGGAGCAGACTCTGTTAGCCCGGTGCAGTGTACACATCTTATGGTCTATGCCTTTTCTTTCTCAGGCACCAGCTAAGGCCCGCGTCCTTCAGTCTCGCATTCCTCCTCGATTTGCTAAGAAGCAGAACAGCTTGTGCTTGGAGCAAAGTGATGTAACAGTTTCTGGAAACAGCCTGGGCACAGAGATCTGGGAGAGCAACAGCCCAGGTAAGTTTGGATCTGTCTGTTCTGGAGTGTTTCACGCAGCTGGGGAATCCTCTGGTGTGTGTGGGAAGGACAGGCTGTCCATGATTAAAAGGAGACAACCTTCTCTTGTCTGGTGCTGGAAGTGGTAGGGGAGCTAGCAGACATCTGGAGTAGCATCTATTCAAAGCTGTAGCGTTCAACCATCCTCCTCCTGTTGTTGGCCACGTCAGTCCCCTAATCTATTTCTTGGGCGGTCTCGTTACATCAAGATCCTACATAGCATTTTCTAGCCTGTTGGGCTGGATCTACTTCAGCCATTTTCTTACTTTGCCTTCCTCTGTTTTCTCATCCTCTAGCCCCAAATAGCTAGTGCCTCCTTTGTTTCTATCTCTGCTCTTTCTCCTGTTGTTTTCATGTTCCCTAAGAACTATCTTCCCCGTTCTCTACCCTTGCTCGCCATACCCTGTCTTCTCTGTGCTGTGTCATGCCTCAGCTGAATGGGCAGCACTAGCTTTCTGAGGTGGTGAAAATACCCTATCTCATGTCTAGAAATGGCAAGTTAATAGTGTAACTTGTACGGTGTACAAGGTGTGGTCACAGTTGTGTTTCAGGCAGCTGAACCCTGCCCTCCGTTCTCTTCCAGCTCTTTCTGTTCAGTCTCCTGGCAGTGATTCCTGGAGCAAGCCTGTAAATACCTTTAATGGTACTGAATCTAGCACCACCGAGGTAAGTGGCACCTAATGTGCCATTCAGGTATTGTCTATATAAAATATTAACGTAGGTGGCTTATGCTTCTCATTGCTCCATCTGTGCTTAGCGACTCTCAGCTCTGCTTGTGCAATTTTAAACTGTCTCTTTGCAGTTCTAATTTGAGCTTGATGCTGCTCAAATCTTGACCTAGAGAGCCAAGCACGCCTTGGTGTTAAATGCGGGTATAAAACTGGAGTAACTGTCTGGTAGAGCTATTCCAGGGTTATGCTCCTAACTGGACACAGAGTGTGGTCGAGGATGAGGATGGTCATGTTTGTGTGCCTCGTGCCTGTGAGCGGTGTGTAGCTGTAGCCTTAATGCAGGGAGGGCAGAGGAGGTTCCTGAATGCTTCACCTCCGGAGACCAGAGTTCACATCTGGTTTGGGTCACAAGTGAAATGAGTTTGGCAATGTCAGCCTAGTTGCTATGTGGGACACTTTTTCCTTATTCTGAAGCCATGGTCTGGTTGGTGCATCAGTTAACCCGTCTTAGGGTTGCGTAGAGCTGAAGCAGCAGCCAAGGGATGCTGCAGGTCAGGCCCAACTCCTTTGCAGTTAACCAAGAATGTGATTTGAAAAAGGGTCATGGTCTTGCTGTTTTCTGGGATTTTTTTCCTCCTTTGTGGAGCTGGGTCGGAGTCCGGGGCTTTAACACATTTCGTGCTTTGCATAGCAGGGTTTTAAAGGCAGCCAGGGGGATAGTGGCATTGACTTGAGCGCGGAGTCTCGGGAATCCTCCGCTACCTCCTCTCAGCGCAGTTCTCCATATGGCACCCTCAAACCAGAGGAGATGAATGGGGCTGGCCTGGTGGACCCAAAGCCTGACTGCCAGAAGGAGCAAGTGCAGAAGCAATCTGATAAAAAGGTAATCTGGATTTGCAGACAAGCCAGAGCACGTAGTGAGAGACCTTGTGAAGTGGTTGTGTTTTCTTGATAGCATTTTTAAGGCTTGAGATTGGGTTATTCAGTCTTTGTGTCTCAGCCTCTCTGCTTTCCTGTTAAGGATTCAGATCAAGGCTCAGGACAGAACAAGGAACACAAGCCTGGACCAATCGGCAACGAACGCTCCCTGAAAAACAGAAAGGGTTCGGAGGGAACGGAACGGCTGGAAGGGAATATTCCCCCTGTTAACGGGGTGGAAATTCACGTGGATTCTGTACTTCCTGTGCCACCCATTGAATTTGGAGTAAATCCTAAAGTGAGGATTGAATTTAATTTTATCTTCTTGGTGATTTGAGCTTGTTGAGATATGAAAGGTGGTTTGAGGCAGAAGGATTATTTAGAGGAAGCTTCCAGCTGTAGATTTGCCTTAGATTTCATTACTGACACAAACCAGGTACTCAAGATGTCTTGGCAAACATGTAATACCCTCTTGGAAATATTGTCCCAAGGACCAGCTGGGGTGGTGACAGAGGTGAGGGACAAAATTATGGCCATCTGAGCCTTTGTGTGCCTCTGGGGGTTGCCTGCTGCTGAGTGCTGAGAAGCGTCGTCTTGTTCTCTTCCAGCAAGGCTTACTGGAGGACAATCTTTAGTTTCTAGTGTCATGATTCAGGCTAAAGTCATTCACCATGAGAAGCAGATGGGTGGCCCTTGGACCTGAATTTGAATTTTGTGTGTTTTGATTTTTCAGGACTCCGACTTCAGCTTGCCACCTGGTTCTGCCTCTGGTACTGCAGCTAACCCTGTCACCAAATTGCAGGATGCCTTGGCCAGTAATGTAAGTATTTATTTTTCCTTTTGGCATTGATCCATCAGAGATGCTCATTGGTTAAATCTCAGGTGCTTTCAAAGAGAGCAAGTGTACTTCTTTGCAGTTGACTTCACAATGCTTAGGCAGCACATGTGACTAAAATCCATAATGGAAATCTGTGCCCTCAAGGTACCTTGATAAAATAAGCATCACTAGTTCTGAAGTGACATAGTGAGCAACTCCATTATCATTCAGTGGCCTGTGTAAAGAAGGAGGCATTGCAGGTCTCGGAGGTGACCATTTTCTTCCCGTGAGACACAGGAGAGTGCTGGTAACAGACATGATGCGGATAGTGGTGTTTTTAGGCCTGAATTGCCAGCTTCCTCAGAAGGTGGTGTCATCTGCCACAGCAAGGCAGAGAACTGTAACTTATTAGGTCATTTTGGAGGTTTTCTAGCTTGTTCCAGTCATCTGGCTATTTCATTATTATATGTGAAAGGGTGAGCACGCTGAAAGCCCAGCTTGTAGCTCAGCTGTGGACAGCAATGTGAGAAACTCACAAAGCTGCTTTTGAAATGTCTTCAAGTTTGTAGGCTGTTTGATTTTGGAGGTTTGCCTTAAAGGGTGTTTATTTTCAGAAGTGCTCTTTCAGAAATGTGTTTTGCCTGAAATTTAGGTAGGTTCCAAATATGGGACAAGAGGAGGAACTCTTCTACAAATTGAAGTTACTGGGTCAAGTTGATGTTTAAGTGGAAGCTGGTGTAACTCAACATAGAGGGTGTCATTGCACATCACTGAAGCTTCATTTATTCCAACAGCAGAGTGGATTATGGTTGAATGTGGTACTTAACTCCTGCAGTACCTCTGAGGATTGATTCCTTCGAGGTGTAGTTACTGGAGCTGCCAGCTGAGGCTCTGTCAGCCTTGGTGGCTCATGGCATTCTCATAAGAGTTTTATTCACCATTTACGAATCTCTCCTCAGGCAGGGTTAACGCAGTCCATTCCCATTCTGCGAAGAGATCATCACCTCCAGCGGTGCATTGGCCTGAACCCGATGTCCTTCCCCACTGCAGACCTTACTCTTAAGGTAAGCAAGCTGGCACATGTGCTTGTCCTAGGTGTAGATGCCGTGTCTCCATGGCCAGAGTAGTGAGGATGGAGAGATCTTTCTCAGAGTGCTTTTTAGGTACTGCTAAATCTCTTAACTTCTGGAAAAGCTGTGCATATATGATATTGAGCATGGGTGGAAGGGCCTGTGTTTCAACAGTCCTGGATGCTGAAGTCCTCACTGATACTTTAGAATAAGTGCAACAGAGCTTTCCTGCTGTTTCAGTGGCTGAGTAAGATGGCTAGTCAGGGATCCTAGGTGCCTGATGGTTTAAAGAAGGAAAAAAAAAACCCGAAACAACCCCCAAACCTACAAACAACAACAAAACCCAAAATAAAGCAAAACAAAAACCAGCACGCCCCACTTACCCCCCCCACCCACCCTCCCCAAACCCAAAAACCTCAGCTCAGCAAATACCAAGGGGGATTAAGCATTTGTGAAGGATGCTTGCCCATTGGGAATTGGTGTGAAGCCCCTTGACCTGAGACCTGCCAGGTTTCCACTGTGACTAGACTAGATTGAATTTGAACTAACAGGTCACAGATGAACAACTCTAGGCTTCAGTATTGTCCTCCCCATTTGAACTGTCTGTAGTTATTGTCCTTCATTTCCATAGATGGAGTCTGCTCGTAAAGCTTGGGAAAACTCTCCTAGTTTACCAGAACAGAACTCCCCAGGAGGTGCAGGTTCAGGCATCCAGCCTCCTTCCAGTGTTGGAGCTTCCAACGGTGTCAGCTACAGCTCTTTTGGTGGAGTTTCTATGCCTCCTATGCCTGTGGCGTCCGTAGCACCTTCTGCATCTCTTCCAGGTACCCGCAAACTGCAGCAGCACTATTTGCATTGTCTGGTTGGTATCTAGGATTCTAGTAGATGAGAGCATGGTGAGAAGAGCTTCCACGTAAAGTAGCTGGCTGGCTGGTATTTAACAGATTCTTAACAGCAATTCAGGCAAGACAGAAAGAGGGACCATCTCCCCACTTTGAAGAATGTTATTTGAGTGTGACTGGTATAAACTTAACACAAGGATGACTTTCCCTGTGTAGTGGCAAGTCTCTGTGATGTCCCAATAGATCCTGCTTACCCTTCACTGTGCGCTCAATAGAATAGAAGGGAAGTGAAGAAACATATGGCTGAGAGACTTCAGCAGTCCCAATATAAATACCAACATCAACCATTCCTCTGCTCATTTTGCTTTTTAATTCACAGGTTCTGCTCTTTGTACCTAACAACAACAACTTGCTCACAGTTTGCAAAACTCTGGGAGATGAGAAGGTGTTGCTATCCTTGAGTTACAGAGGGAAAGCTTAAGCTCAGTGCTGTTCAATAGTGTGTATAATTAGGGAGAGCATCTGGAAAAAGGAAATGTACTTGGATTCTCTGACTCCTGGGTTCCCAAAAGGCCTCTCATGTGTGCGCTATTCTTCTCATTCCTCAATTCAAGAGTGGAGTGGAACACACTGGGCAGAAGTGATAGCGAGTGGGCCTCTGTAGGGACTGTTACAAGCTTCCACTTGGAAAACAGATTGTTCCAAGTTAGGTGATTGTCTTCCCCACCCCCCCAAACTTTGCTTGTAAATCCCGTGGCTCAGATTTGCACAGAACCACAGGAGTGGCACAGAACTTTCTAATTGGTGCCACTCTTGGGGTGAATGCGGCTTTTAGATCTCTTGTGTGAAGGTCTCAAACGCCATGTTTGCTCTTTCTGTCCCTCCTAGCTGCAAAGATGAGATGATTGCAAAGCAGGTTTCTGGCATTTAGGGACAGTTTTGAGTGCAGCTCACCTGTTCTTGAACTGTTAGTGTCTCTGACTTTTTTTTTTTTTTTTTTGTGTGTTTGTGTGTGGAGGTGGGAAATGGGTTTGCATTTAGCCTCCTACAGAAAGGTGCGATTAATTCTCAGCAAGTCTGCTACTGTCAGTGGGCTGCTGGCTTTGGTATGTGGGTTTACGAGCTTTACAGGCTCTTCTGAATGGGTACTATGTTTGTGTTGACTTGCTGAACTGGTTGCTGAGATGTAGGAAATAGTCGTGACCTGCAGGTCTCTGCAGTGTACTGTGCCTGTATCTCCCCTGTACCTTAAGTTTACAGCCTGCCCTTTCTGATGTTTAGGTAACCATATTCCACCCCTGTATCTGGATGGCCACGTGTTTGCAAGTCAGCCCCGCCTGGTCCCTCAGACGATACCTCAGCAGCAAAGCTACCAACAGGTAAGGGAGAAATACAACTAGCTACTGGTTTCTCAAGGAGTCTTCAGGGTGGCATTTAAGAAATGAGGAGTCATTTGTCTTGCTTAGATGTGGCTCCCTTTAGGTTCCTTGAATGCTGCTTCCCAGTGGATGTCACAGGTTAGCAAAATAGAAGGGAGGGATTTGAGCGTTTTTTCCCCTTTTCTGCCAGTGCCTTTGGACTGTGTTTAACTGAATCAGCTGCTGAGGTCTCTGTGTGAGGTAAAGTGACTTTCAGTACATTCCAGTCAATACTGATGAGCAGTTTCACTAGCCTTAGTAAGTAGGGTGTTGATAGAGTTGGGGAGAGCCCCTTCAAGGTAAGAGTGCAGGCAAGTGAGAGCTGGGATTGTCAGTGCCTGTTCTGTGTGTGGAGTACATTGGTCCCCTCATGTCCATCAAATGCCTCTTGTAGGCATCAGTCTTCCCTTTCGGGTGCCTACGCAGTATCTTCCCCTGCCAGTGTTCTGCTGTGCTGTGGAATGTTGCAGGGGCTGGGTAAAGGCGCAGTGTAGGTAATTGTCATGGCAGGTTGACTCACGGAGGAAAGTGATGGATTTTTAACAGATTGGGAGAGTTTCTGGCTCTTCTTGTACCTCTCAGTCATCTTAATTTCTTCTGCAGGCTGCTGCTGCTCAACAGATTCCCATTTCCCTCCACACATCCTTACAGGCCCAAGCTCAGCTTGGGCTGAGGGGTGGTCTGCCCGTTTCCCAGTCCCAGGAGATGTACAGCTCCATACAGCCCTTCAGGTAACTGCTTCCAGTTTTTCATTTCCTTGTGGTCTGAACTTCAGAGTTGGGCTGGCTATGGCATAGAGTCATACTCTGTACCCCCTTTCTGGCATGAGATGAGAGTTGAATGATCAAAATAGTCCTTCAAGGCCTCAAAAACCTAGACACTGAGGTTTAAAAAGAATGCTTGTTTTGCTAGAGCTGTTTGAATCTGTAACTTCTGACTTTTTTCTGCTTTGCAAAAATGCTGCAGATTTCTGGTATCCTGAATCATCCCTTGCTACTAATCCAGAGCTTATTGTGCAGGATATTGATACATAAACTTTGGATAGGATGCAATGTCTTTCTGTTGAATGTTCCTGCAACACAAGGATGTGGTTATAAGGGCTTAAAAGTGCAAGTAGAAACCCCTGTAACTAAGATGGGAAGTGGTGTTACAGCTTATTTCTTGTCAGTTTAGTAGAGTCTGAGAACTGCTTGCTGATGGCAGGCCAGATATGGTTTGGCAGTGTGTGTGTGTGTATAATCTCCAAAGGTTTTCTGTGTAATTACTTGAGTTTTTTTCTCCAGGTCTCAGGTGTATATGCACCCCAGTCTGTCTCAACCCAGCACCATGGTCCTGACAGGAGGCACTGCTCTGAAGCCTCCGTATTCCGCCTTCCCAGGCATGCAGCCCTTGGAGGTGGTGAAAACCCAGTCTGGGTCCCCCTATCAGCCTATGAATGGAAGCCAGGCACTGGTTTATGAAGGCCAGATAAACCAGGCGGCTGGTATGGGAGCTTCCCAGATGATGGACTCTCAGCTTACACAGGTTAGAAGCAGGGCTTGCAGGCCACTCCCTTGTACAGGCTTTTTCACAGCTGCTTGTTTCTAAGCCTGGGTTGAAACCAGTATTTATGCAGAGTCATGTGTTTGTGTGAACTAAGCTCTTTGTAAAGAGGCAAAAGATTTCCCTGAGAGACTCTGTTCTGTGAACCATTGTTTCAAACGTGCAACATCTTATTTAATGAGATTCTTGCTAATTACTTGTCAGTCCCTACTGAGATGTCATTTTGTAACTTGGAAGTCCTCGCCCTCAATATAGAAGTTTCGTGCAGATCAAACCTTGCAGTGCTTCATGTGTAGGAGGCCATGATGCAATGGGTGTCCTAAAAGTACCTCTTCTGAGAGCCAAATCCCCATTGTCTCCAGATTTAACTTGGCTTCCAGGATAATTAGGACCTTTTGTTCAAAGCTCATCTATCTTCTCAATTCATTTGTTATCCAGGTCTTATTTACAACTTCTGATCTGTTTGGCAGCATCTTAACAAGAATTTAATTGTGTGGAAAAGTTTTTGTAAAGCATGGTTGAGATAAAGACATTGAATCCTACTGTGAGCATAGCTGTATTTGTGGACATGTGTTCTCATACTCTGGAGAAGTTTGATACTTATATTAAACTCATCTTACGCTTATTTTGTGCAGCATGTTAAGGTTTATTTTTGTTTAAAGAGATTTTTATTTTGTGACTGACAGAGTTAATCCTGAAGGTAACTTATCTGAGGAAAATACAGAGAATACTGACAAACTCAATATTTGAAGAAATGCTTTATCCACCATCATTGGGGGTACTGATGGATGAAAAGCTAGACATGAGCCGGCAATGTGCGCTGGCAGCCCAGAAGGCCAACCGTACTCTGGGCTGCATCAGGAGAAGCGTGGCCAGCAGGTCGAGGGAGGTGATTCTGCCCCTCTACTCTGCTCTGGTGAGACCTCACCTAGAGTACTGCGTCCAGCTCTGGAGCCCTCAGCACAAGAAGGACATGGAACTGTTGGAACGGGTCCAGAGGAGGGCTACAAAAATGATCCGAGGGCTGGAGCACCTCTCCTATGAGGACAGGCTGAGAGAGTTGGGCTTGTTCAGTCTGGAGAAAAGGAGGCTACGGGGAGACCTGATTGCGGCCTTCCAGTACCTAAAGGGGGCCTATAGGAAAGATGGGGAACGTCTTTTTAGTAGGGCCAGCTGTGTTAGGACAAGGGGAAATGGTTTTAAACTAGAACAGGGTAGGTTCAGGCTAGAGGTAAGGAAGAAATTTTTTACAATGAGAGTGGTAAAACACTGGAACAGGTTGCCCAGAGAGGTAGTGGAGGCCCCATCCCTGGAAACATTCAAGGCCAGGTTGGATGGGGCTCTGAGCAATCTGATCTAGTTAGCAGTGTCCCTGCTCACTGCAGGGGGGTTGGACTAGATGACCACTAGTGGTCCCTTCCAACCCTAAACATTCTATGATTCTATAAGCAGTAACTTGGTCTCTTTTGCCAGCCTTATTTATTTATTTATTTATTTATTTATTTATTTATTACAAAGGGTTGTCATAGAACCTCCCAAATCCAGCAATTGTGAGAACTGCCAGATGAATCAGAGGGGACAGGAGGCTCTTGAGTCCTGAGCTGCGTTTTTTTAAATTACTCTTTAATTACTGCCATCATCAGTTTGAAGCTCACTGCAGAACACAGAGCTGAGGTCACCATTGCTTTCTCTAGAGGTCCAGTCCCCAAAATGCTTTGGCATGAAAGCGTAGCAGACTTTCTGGTTTGGACGTCAAAGCTGCAAACAAAACTCTTGATAAATGAGCTGTCTGCCATCATATTAAGATAAAATGCACTCATGCAGCAACCATGAGGAAGACTGAAGAACTGGATGAAGGTTCTAGGCAAGGAGGAAAGCCCTGTGTCTGAGTGCGGTTATGTTAAATCGATGCCATGTTAAAAGCCCAGCTGATTGGGTGTTGGCAACAATACCAGAACATGCATTTGGTGTGTAAGTCCCTCTGTTCCATTGATTTGCATTTATTCTGTGCAGTCTGCACTATCAGTGAACTTTCTTTTAGCAATGCTGTACTTTCAGGGTATTATTGTGTGTCAAACACAAGTCTGTTACCACCATTAAGTAACTACATGTCCTTATCACACAGCTAACGATGCCTGTGCCTGGCTCCCAGCTTCCTCTGCCCCGCTACGGCTCTGGCCAGCAGCCCCTGATTCTACCACAGTCCATCCAGCTCCCTCAGGGCCAAAACCTGCCTGTAGGAGCTCCCCGAAGAATCCTCCCTCCTGGATCCCAGCCTTCTGTTCTTGCTACCAGCAGGGAGGTAAGGATTAACCTCCTGCGTGCTCATCTTGGCATTCATTAACCCCTCCTGTGTTGAAGTTTCGCTCCTTGATCTTGCTTGTTAAAGGGGAGACTGGCTTGTTTGGGATCCTTAAATATCAAAGCCAAGGATCGGTGTTAAATTGAAGGAGCCCTTTTCCCCTCATCTCCAAAGCACAGGCCAGCAGTTTTTCAGGTTTTGCTGCTGGTCATCGTTCTGTTTCCAGGGAGCCACATCCTGCCTTGATCCAGTTTGGAGTCTCCAGTTTTATTACATGTTTACGCAGGTTTCCCCAGAGTGCTTGAGGGGTGGTGAGCTCCAGACACAGTTGGAATACTTCCCAGATATTTCACACTGTTGTGAAGCTTGTCCATTTGAGTAGGTATATTAATGTCATGTCTGGTTTGATGGATTCGTATCATAAGTTTGTCTATTATAGGGGAGAGAGAGCACAGCAGTTAACTTCCAGGTTCTGTGCTTGTTTGTGCTGCTGGCTTGTTGGTTTGATACAAGCAGATTATTTCACTTACAAGCCTCACTTTCTTCACCTGAAAAATGTTTTGTTCTTTTAATGGGCATGATGGGTAGAAGGGCAAAGATTTGGCTTAAGTATTTATATGAAGTAATGAGTGATCTGTGAATGCAAAGATGATACTCTCTCTCACTCATTTTCCTCTGTAGTCCTCCCAAATGGAAATGAAAGGGTTTCATTTCTCCGATGGTAAACAGAATATGTCCTCCGGAGGGTCTGTACCGTCACCACATACGTACAGGTAAAACATTTACAGAACTTAGCCTCTGTAGTCACGATGGGGAATAAGTAGTGTTCCTCCTTTGCAGTGACGTGGTGCAGGCATCATCCCTGTACAATATTCACTTGGGTTTTCACATGCAGAGTGTGCTTCCCATAGTCCAAACACTTGTATGAAAATCCATGATCATGGCTTTTGTTTTTTGCTGTGGGCCAGTGTGTATCTGACTTGGCCTTTTGTGCTTGTGGGAAGTGCATAAAGTTATTTGTTTACTGAGTCTGAAAGAGAAATTGGAATTGGTGTGTGTGCTTTTGTGTGTTCCTTGTTAAGACAGAAAATTTGAGGATCACTGAATAAACGTTTCAGTTTCCAGCATGGTCCTCTTGAGATGAGAGGTGCTAATGTCTAGACATACCAAACCTTCAGGTCATTGAGCCTTCTGGGATATGCAGTTACTTTATTTTTTTTCTCCTGACCAATCCATGTGTTGTCTTTTGGGCTGGGGAGCTCACTGATCTGCACAGCACAAACTCATGCCCTGTCTACTGCTGCTTTCTGCTGTCTTTTTTTTTTTTTTTTTTTTTTTTTTTTCACACATGAATAAGGTTCTCATTCCATTGTAGAATTTACTCCATGAATATTGTCGACTCTTCGATTTCCAGGCCTAGCTCTGCCAGCCCAAGTGGGAAGCCATCTGGACCAGCAGTTAGTATGGGCTCTGTGCAAGGACACTATGTCCCACAGGTAGTGTGCATCAGTCCTTTGACCCAACAGTAGCCACTCTTCTATAGTGTCATGCTTGTGCCTTGGACTTAAGAGGAGTGGCAGGAAGGCCTGTGTACCGAAGCTGTGTGTGGGAGAAAGGGTGGGTGGGTGTTATACTGAATCTGAGAGTAATGCTGTGTGATTTCAAAGTCAGGATTGATGAGAGGATTACCTGTTTTACAGTGTCCATCTTGTTTGTTGTTGAGTTTTTATGGGTTATTTGCATAGCCAGACATGTAAGACCCTTTGAGATACCTACACGTGAGGTGTTCTAGGACAGCAAAGTGTGACAGAAAAAAAGAAACACCTGATTTTTGGTGTAAATTTGATGTCTTGCATGCATGATGGTCACGGTTTGGTTGTTTTCTATCTGCCTAGAGGTCTCTGTCCTAGCTAATGCTTTGGTTTTGTATGTCAAAAGGCAAAGCAGCGGGTGGATGAAAATAAATCCAACCTGGGATCAGTAAAGCTGCAAGAAACGGCCTCCACAAACCAGATGAAGCCAGTGCGCACAGGAGCGATCAAACCTCAGGCAGTCAAAGTGGAGGAAAGTAAGGCCTAGGAGCACCTCCGATGCCCAGCTGGTCCTGCTGCCTGAGAGGCACTGCAGCTTAGACTGGACCCCACTGGATCTCCTGAAAATCTCGCCAGATCTACTCCCTGCCCCACATTGACTGACTACAGCGACATCATCCAAGCCCCTCTTGTGACAAAGCAGTTTGAAACAGTGGATATGACATTGACCTGCTTGCTTTAAAACAAACCAACCATGTGACTTTTAAGTGGCTCGAGCCATTTATTTCCCCCTCCCCCCCCATGCCCCATCCACAGGTAGCTGTGATTGCTCACTTGGCAAAGCCCGTCCTTCTCCTTCCCTACTTCTGTCTCAGCAGAGTGGCAACTGGGGGAGAGGGGTTAGTTTGAGGTTTTTCATTTTAAAGGCAGCTGAGGTTTTTACGAAAAAGCTATATCTTTGTTTATAGCAGAACTTTTATATGTTCTCTCATTTCCTCCTCCCCTTCTTTCAGCTTTCCTCATTCCTTTCAGAAAAGAATTCCCTTCAGCTAAAATTATGTTGTGACAAAACTCTGCTTAGTTTTATATACGGTTCTGTGCTGTGTTGAGAATCATGGCTCTTCTAAGTGGAATTTGTTTGGATGTATTTTCCCCAGATGATTTAGCCTTTCAGATTATTTGATTAAAAAAAAAAACAGGACAGTTATGGCATTCATTAATTTTTCAGTATTTTTATTTTAAGCTAGAAGCAGTGCTTGCGCTAGAAGTAAATGTGTACTAAAGGTATATAGCAGATCAGTCCATTAATCTTGAAACTTGCACCACTTTAGTTGTAGCTTTGTAGTGCACTGTGCACAACAAAAGGTGGCATTTTTGTTTTAAGAAAAAAAAACCAAACACCAAATTTCTGTTGCAACCTCATCTGGATCTGGGGGGGGGTGGGGGGGGGGGGGGATTTTTAGTGACTGCCAAACAAACAACACAATGCAAATCACAAATTCACAAAATGTAAAATCTCTTAAAAATCTCCTCACCGCACATGGGTCAGAAGAGTTGGCTAAAGCCAACAGGTCTGTATGGACTACTTTTTGTAGTTGTGATGCTCTCTTATGTTCCCTTCCTTGTCCACTCTTAACGCTTCATATCTCCTGAGACTTGTTCTGTATTGTGTTCATCCCTTGGGGCTGCTCTCCTAAGCTTTGCTCTTCTCCCTTTTCCCCAAGTCTTGCTTTCTATTCCTCTAACTCATGGCCTTCTGTAAAATTTGCATAGAAACGTATCGGTAAGGGAGCCCCTCTGCAAGGTAGCCATATTAGCACACTTGGAACCTCCTTTTTTTGTGTTGGAAGCACATGGTTACAGAGGCAGTTTGGAATCATCCTTTTACTCTCCTTCCCCAGATGGACAGCAAAGGTTTCTTTACTTTTGATGCAGCTGCATATAGTGTGTATACAGTGTCATCACCTTATACTTTCGTACCAATATTTGATGATCTATGAAAGGAAGGGCCCAGGGGGAGGGGGTTGGGGTTTTATTTCTTTGATTGTTTGGGTTTTGGGGTGTGTGTGTGTGTGTGTGTAGATTTTAGGACAGTCTTACAAGTTCCTGAAAGTGCTTGGAGTCCTTCAGCTGACAGTAGTCTTAAGTAAACTCAACTACTTTTCAGCCAACTTGGTTTGTGTTGTTTAGCTCTTTCAAAATGTAAAGTAGGCTGGTCACTCTGAAGTGAGGGAAAGAAAACTTCATTTTTGCAGGAGATGATAGCTTGCTAACTGGCTGTGCCGTCTGCCTCTGCTAGGTGGCAGCAAGTCATTTGGTGGTGGTTCCAAAGAAGATATTTTGAACAAAGAATGTATTTGGGAAGGGATCTGAAAGGTGTTCTTGTTTCTTCATTTGCTTTTTCCCCCCCCTTTCTGGGAAAGATACTTCATAACTTTTTAGGGATGCGTTTGAAGTTTTAAGCTAGGTATAAATAAGAGTTTTATACAGTAGCTTTAAAAAGCTTAGAAACCTAAACTAACTTAGACATAGTAATGTCCCCTCTCCAGAGGTGTCCCCCTTGACCATGGCAGAGAACCCAAAGGGAAAGGGATAGGATGGTACTTTAAGAAAAATAAAAGCTTTTTTTTCCCCCCTCATGTCTTAAGGATTTTTAACTTCAGAGCAGAGTGTGCCAGCATCTCTCCAGCATCCTCCTTAAAGTACAGGGTTTGTGATTTAGTGACAAATATTTCCTCAGCCTTCAGACATTTCCCAGGCCTGCATCCTCATCTGCTAGTCCTGCTCCCAACATTTTCCAAAGATTGCTCCGCCAATAAGTCATCCCACCCCCCTTTCTATTTTCTTCCTTGGAACATCATGAACAACAGAATTAATCTGTTTTTTCTTTTTTTTTTTTTTTTTTTTTTTTTTTTTTTGTTCTTATTCTGCCCAGCTGGCCCTAGCTAATATCAACCCAGAATCGTAACTGTAATGGTTAAAGAGACTTATCCGAGCCCCCTCTTCTCATCTCTTCCCTACCCTATGGACACACTACTTAAGCTTTACAAAGACACTAACCTCTTTCCTCCCACCTTTATGACTTTAAAATGGTCAAATGTGTTGGAGAAACTGGGTTATTGCTAGATACAAGTTATTGCAGTCCCTCTGGTGTAAATGCCATCAGAACTACAATACTTCCTGTTGAAAAAGGTCATCCTTCTTTCTCTTTTAACCCCTCCCTTCCTTCCCCCAACAGAATAAAACACTAGAATTTATTTATACGTATTTGATGTTGTAGGTCTAGGTGAAAAAGTAATTGTTTCACTGCTCTATTTATATATTATGTCTGAATTATTCTGTGCAGGAAAGGCCAAGAAATGCATGTGAGCTTCATTCCATTCCTCACCTTTGCGTGACTGTCGGCTGCAGTTGGCAAGACTCTCTTTCACTTAATGGAGTTTTGTGTGATGGAAAGCAGTTTTAGAGCCCAAATTTCTAAGGTGCAATATCCTTCTTCTCTGGCATATATTTTTGTTTGTTTGTTTAAAGCTAGTACAAGCTTAGTGCAGTTTGTGGTGCTCTTGAGTCAAAAGGAAAGTCTCTGATCCTCAGAGTGCAGAAATGCCAAGGGTGCTGGTAGGGTGATACAAATTCAGCTTGGGGAAGAGGAGAATGGAGATGTATAGAATGTGGATATGGCTTATCGGGGATAATTCTGCTTGCCGTCTCCACTGCTGAAGGGTCAGGCCCTAATGATTTATTCCTTTGCGAGTTGCTTTTGCTTTGACTGGAAATCAGCTATCAAATTGCAGGCTCCTTCTGCTAGGAAAGGTGCAGTGGGAGGGAGAGGTGGAATCCATATTTTCAGCAACAATGGGTGAAGCAGAAATATTCAGAGACTGACTTTGCTGCTTTTTGTTCAGCTGGAGGTCTGAAGCATGTGCATAACCGGTTCTTTTATATGCAGTGATTCATGGCCTAGCAGCTGCATTCAGTGCTGCTTTTCTCTCCAGTTCAACCTGCTTTTAGCTCTTAATTTAAACAAAAAAAGGCAAAAAAAAATAAAAAAAAATTTGAGGTTGAGGAAGAAAAAAAGGAAGGGGGAGGGGAGCACTCCAGTATGTTTAAAAAATAACAAGTGGAAGCAGCACAGTCACCAGTGACACAGGTATTATTGTTGATCTTCCATAACTCGCTCCTGGCTCTGCCGTGTGGCAGCTGTACAGTGGTCGGTAACTCTGAATGTGTTTGCAGCCCATTGAACTCCATACGTGTTTGTGTTCATGCAGAGGCACTCCATTTAACAGTTTCCTTGCAAGAATGCTGCAAAGCTACAAGCTGCCCTGTGGTTCCTGTGTATTTATAGATATATATATTAAAAAAAAAAAAAAAGAGCCTAGCATTTTTGCTACGTCTCACCTTTTGGCAGGTTACTCTATTCACTTTCAAGCGAGCACCACTGCATGCCAAGATCTCGTTCTGTTGCATTTTGTTAACCTTCTGGTTTGCTTCTGACTGGTTAAGCACAGGTTAATTCCTTGTAAGCGTGGGTTATTTTTGACGTATGGGCAGCCCAGTTTCCTTGTAAGAAAAAGATGCATTTGTGAATAAGAATTAATTTACAACAGGCGTCAGGATACTTAGTTGTGGCCCATTGACAGAAAAGGTGTGTTTTGCCGAAGCAGTGGAACTGCTGGCTGTGAAGAGGCAGCAGCAGTCCAACTACTTTTATTTTGTTTTGTTTTAATCCGAAGACCACCAGATTTTCCTAGTGGCCATAGACACTTGGGTTTAATGGCTCGTCTCGGCTCCTCCAGATGTCTGCAGCCACAACCTTGACCGTTCCCCTGGGAATCGCACAGCAGCAGTGAGGCTCACCCTTTAGCATGTCTCAAGGCGTTGTCCTTAGCTGGAATCCTTCCTCTGGTTCTGTATAAATTGCATTTGTTGTTTCTCAAGGGGATATTGTACTCCTTAAAGCTTTTAACCTCATGACCTGTATAGTAAATTTTTTTTGGCCTTTCCTCTCTTTGTCTTTTCATGTAGACCAGATATTTGAAAGGGCAGACGATGGATAATTGTGTAACGTGCAACCTGTTTATATTTTTTGGAAACTTTTACTTGGACCGGAACTCGAATCACGGAATCACCAGGCCAGTTGCGGCACACTCTTTATTGCCCTTTTTCCTTGTTTCAGTACCTATTGTTTCTCCTTTCAAATATGTGATTGTATTAGCTCTTTCCATATGAAAGAATTCTCCTTATTTAAATAAAAAAAAAATGAAAAAAAATAAAGCAGGTTATGCTTTTCTCAAATTCCCAAGGCCCTTGCCTGGTTCTTTTGGTTGGATATATAGATATATATATAGAGAGATAATGATATATATATAATGTGGGTATGCATACATACATGTAATGTGTGTGTATATATATATACAGGGTTTTTTCTGGAATGGAGGTGGCCAAAGCACTGCTGTGGGTGGCCATGCTCTTGGCAGGGACACACGGGGCCCCACACCGCTCTTGGGCTGCGATAGGCGGCAGGCCGAGAGCTGTGCTGGGGCTGTGGCGAGGGCGGG